GATTCACAAGAGCCGATTGGATGGTTGTGGGGGGCTCCCATGAGCCCCATGAGTTGCCACCGGAGGTCCGAACTTATGGGGCGCAGACTGCACCAATCGGAGATCTTTTGTCCTGGGTCACTCCAGACCCGGGTCAGTCAGGCTTTGCAGGACTCTGCAAGATCCTGCAGGATCCTGCAGGATCCTGCACCCCTGCCCGGGTCAATGCGACCCTGGCTCTGCATAATGCTGATCTGGTGCTCCAGCTGACCCCCGTTTGCATTGACCCCCGTCTCCCCAGACCCCCGATGTCGTGTTTGTTTTTTCCTTTCTCACAACGTCGACCCGCAGAGCTCTTGACCCCTTCCCCGGGACCGGTTTCTCGTCCTGTGTGGTTTTTTGACGGTCCTGAGCCCCTGGAAGGGCCCCTGGAAGCTGAAAGTAGCGAAAAACCTCCCGTCGCGATTTTGTCACGGCGCCAGGAAGTCTGGGTCGTGAGCCACGGACCAGGGAGGTGTCGGTGTGAGCACGTCCGGCCAGGTGCGCTGGCGCGCGGGTCAGGGGTTGCGCTCGGCGTCGGCGGCGCTCGCAGGGGCGAGGACACGGAGCGCAGAAACGCCGCGGGGCCCTCTGGGGCCCCAGCGCTGGCCGAGATCGGAGCGCTCCCCAGGGGCCCGCCGTCCACTTAAAAAACACACAAGCAGGGGTGATTTCGGGAACCCTGCAGCTCAAACAACATGTTCATCTCTTGGGGGCGCATCTTGTACTCCCGCCGCCTTCCGCCAGCGAAGGCGGCCTCGTTTTACTTCCGCCGCCCTTCCGCCGCGGAAGAGATGACAACTCTCTTGGGCCTCCCTGGGAAAAAGCTGGGGCCACCTTGGAACAGGGCCACCTCTCGCAACTCCTCAAGACGAAGCCAGGACGAGGATATACTCGGGTAAGCCGGGGATCTCCGAGATCCCGCCGATCTGGAGGGTGTCTCGGGCGCCGCGGCCTTCTCGGAGCGCCCTGGAACGCTCTGAGAGCGCTCTGGAACGCCCTGGAACGAATCCCACCAGCCCTCTGGGCGTCGGTGGTTTAACGAGTTTCCTCTTCCACCCCTCCCTCTTCCCCTTCTCGGAGGGGTTTACCCCTCCCCCTACCCCCTTCCCCACTGACCTGGACAGGGGGTTCCGCGGCGCGTTGGAGCGCCCAAGATGGCCCAAGACGGCTCCAAGAGGGCCTCAGGGAGCCCAAGATACCCTCCAAGATGGCTCAAGATAGCGCGAGATGCCTCAAGATGGTCCCCATGATGTTCCAAGACGTTCCAAGAACTCTCCAAGACGGTTCCAAATGCCCACAAGAGCATCATTAGGATGCATCCAAGAGGCCAAAATGCTTCAACACCCTAGGGATAATCAATGTTTTTGGTGTTCTCACTTTTTCGCTTGCGATGCACATCCGAGGCGTCAAGATGGCTCCAAGAAGGCTCAAAATAGCTCCAAGAAGGGCCCAAGAAAGCCCCATGACGGCGCCAAGAGCGCCGAAGAGCGCTCCAAGAGCGGTCCCAGAGCGGTGCAGGAGACGATTTTTGGAGTTCCTGGGGGGGGGCTCTAGTTAAGGAACCCTACTTCCTTGACCGATGTCCTCCAAGATTGCCCCAAGAGCGCCCCAGCAGGGCCTTCAAGGGCGCCCAGACGGGTCCAAGAGGAGCCCAAGAAGCGCCCAGGAGGCCCCCAAAGGCCCCAAGATGGCCCCAAGAGGCCCCACGAGGCCCCCAGGAGGCCCCAAAGAGGATCCCGAACGGCCCACAGAGGCCCCCCCGAGGCACCCAAGACGCCGAAAACCCCCTCAGGACGACCCTCTACTCGCCTGGGCGTCGTTTCTGGACGGGCTGGTGGGGATTGTTTTTTTTTTTTTTTGTTTTAAAAAAGCCGCAGGCGGAAGCGCCAGCGGCGGGCGGTCGCGGTCGGACTGCGGCCGCGACTAACGGCGGGCGCGCGCGAAGCCCCGGTCGGGCGGCAGGCAGCAGCGACCCAGGGCGTCTGAGCCAAGGCGTGCAATCCAGGGAGTCTGCAGGGCAGCCCCAGGACGAGTCATGCAACGGCGCATCCAGGGAGTCTGAACACAGGCACCGAGGAAGCCGAGCGCAGCCAAAATGGCGCGTAAGGCGCTCCCAACAGTTCGAATCGAACAAGTAGGAACGGTCCCGAAGACGTCTATCCAGGGAGTCTGACGGGTAGCACAGACTGACTGGCGACAAAGTCCAGCGGGAAGACCTGACGGCGGATCAGAACATCGCGACGTCAGGGCTGGTGGGGATACGCGAAGCGTCTAGAATGTATCTCGGGGGCGCGCAAACATGAATTAGCGATCCATGAATTTGCCGCGCGGCCGCTAAATCCATGGATCGGGGGAAGTGCCCTCCCCAAAATGTGGCTGGGTTCGGCGGCGGAAATCCGCGATTTCCCCTGGAAGCGGGACCCGTCGCTAATCCATGCCCCCTTGATCCATGTTTGCGATCGCCTGAGGAACGGATTTATCCTCGTTCCAGCCACGTCCGAGGTCCTGGGCCCCAGGGCTCCCCACAGGACTGGCTCCTTCATCCCGAGCCGTTCCTCTGACTGCCCCGAGGGGCCCAGCAGGGGGGCCCGAGGGGCCACAGAATGGCGAAACAGCTCCATGGTTCCTTTCGTCTGGCACTTCTGCTTACTCGCTGCCCCCGTGGCTGGGGGATGGAGTCGGGAAGGAACTGTTTTGCTTCTAAGTCCAAAGCTGGGCCTCCTGTGCAAGCAACATATGCCTCTTGTGGGGTGCCCCATGGAGCTGCAGGCCGGCCTGGCCAGGTCCGCGATGACCCAGGAACAGTCACCAGGAGCACTGGCCAAGCGCAACCCCGAGGAGGCGAGTTTTACAAGGTCACTCCGCTTCTTCATGGCGACATGCGACGGACGTCCGGGGGCATAGTTGCACCGATCCTAGCCTCGTCCTAGCCCCGCCCGACTGCGGTCACCCTGGGCCAGGGCCACCTCCTGGCAACTCCTGGGCCCTGGAGTCTTGTGCTGAGGCCGAGCTGGGCACCTCCCAAGCCCTCCCGGTGGGGAGGACGGGGGCCTCGCCGTCGTCGTCGTCGTCGTCGTCGTCGTCGTCGTCGTCGTCGTCGTCGTCGTCGTCGTCGTGGTCGTCGTCGTGGTCGTGGTCGTGGTCGTGGTCGCGGTCCTCGTCGTCGCTCTTCCGAGGACCTCGCGGAGCTGGAGCCCTACGAGGCCTGGACCCCCTCCCCGAGTCTGGGGAGGATGAGGGAGCGGAGAGGAAAGATGCTTTCGAGTCCCGAAACGGTGCGGTGACAGACCGTGCGGTGACCTCGAAATCCTCAAGAACTCACCGCACGGTCCGACATCCTCGGAGAACGACCCGAGTCCCAAAACCGTGCAGTGATCCCGAATCCCCACCGACTCACCACACGGTGTGGTCACCACCCCGTTTGTCTGAGCGAGGCCGCCTGTGGCCTCTTCCCCCACCCCCTCCGCACGCGTGCGGTCGCAAAGTGGCAACAGGGACGTGGGTCAGGCACGTGAGCCCACTCTGCTGAGTGGCCAAGGCCCAATGGGGGTACCTTACACCTGAGATGATGTCAGCCAGCGTGGACCCCAAGCGGTGAGTGATTGCACTGTGGAGGTGGAAGCTGTGCGCTGTGAGCCATGTGGTGGGAGCTCGTACGGTGTAAGCTGCTGTGTGGTATAAGCTATCTCGTGCAAGTGATGTGATGTGAGCTATGAGGTGTAAACTCATTCGGTGTAAACTATACAGTGTAGGTTATGCCGCGTATGCTGTGATGTGAGTTATGCAGTGTCAGCCATGTGGTGCGAGGAATCTGTTATGAGCTACGCAGTGTAAGCCATGTGGTGCAAGTCATGTAGTGCAAGCTGTGATGCGAGCTATGTGGTGTGAGCTATGTGGTGCAAGCTATGCTGTGCAAGCTATGGGGTGTAAGCTATGAGGGCGCGCACGAGCGGACACGGGCATCCTGGGTAAACCCACTCAGCGCACGGCGCCCACGAGGCGCCCACGAGCGGGCATGGTCGCCAACGTGGCGAAAGCCGTGGACACCCATCCAGCTACGTCAGGAGCCCAGATAAGAACTCCTAAGTGCAAGCGCCGCTTTGGGGGAACGTCCATGACGGACAGCCCCAACACGCGAGAAACCTCAAGGGTGCCCCTCCAAAGCTGGGACTGCTCTTAACGCTCGTGCCATCCGTGTCAGGCACCCTTCGCGCTTCTCAAGCAATGCCGCCCGCCCCGTCCTCTTCCGATATCGTCCTGCGGAGCGGAGTCGGCCGCCTCCACCCCTGCCTCGCTCCGAGGTCGCCTCCCTGGGCGAAGACGCACAGACCTTGTCACCAATCTCCACGGATGTAATTTCTTTCTGCACCACCCTCGATTTGGATTGAATCGGAAATCGATCGAATGCCGAACGGCGAGAGCGAACTCTATCACGCACTCGACCGAGAAGACTTCCTTTTATACGCACTCGGATTCTGACTGGGGGCAGCTCCAACGGACATGGGAGGTGCGGCGGGGAGTCAACCACTGCGCATGGGATTTGGGTGCGATCCAAAGCCGGGCGCGCAGAAACTCACATCACCCTGGGTTCACACCGCGGTGACGCCCGCGCTGGTGTCTGACCTTGCGTGACGCGCTCAGCCTCGCAAGCGTGGATTTCTGGCAGCGCAGGTCGCTCGACATCGGCTGATTCTGGGCCGCTGGCGGCGTCCAGCCTCCAAGGCCCCCCGCTGGGGTCGCCGCCGCGCCAGCGCGGCGCGAACCTGCCGCAGGCGGGCTCTCAGTCGCAGCCCTGTCGCGGCGAAGCCCGAGGCGGGGGGGAGGGCGGGCGACGCGAGCGGAGGCGCGGGGCCAGCGGCGGGCCCAGGGCGGTGCCGCGCGGGGCTCCGAGGGTGCGGGGGGACAGGGGGGCGATGACGATGACGATGCCGATGACGACGATGACGATGACGATGCCGATGATGACGATGACGATCGTCATCGTCATCGTCATCGTCGCAGAGTCGCGCGGAGCTTCCACCGAGCCAGGCAGACTGCGCGGACCTCCGAGGGTACTCTGCTGCCGCTCGTCGGTGCTTCGACGCGCGCCCCCGCGGGGCGACGTGCCCGCAGGTGGGGCGTCTCGCAGCGGGCCACGGCTCCTGCGGCAGTGTGCGCCGGCTTGACCCGGGAAGGCTTGAGCCCCGGAGATGGGGAGGAGAGAGAGAGAGAGACGAGCAAGAGCAGGAGCAGGACAAGGGGCCGAGGGAGCCTGGTGTTCGATGCAAGCAACTCAGGGGCGTCCCGAGGTGGGCTGCGAAGCCTCCTCTCCCAAGGGGAGCCTGCGGGCCCGCCTGGCCTCCCCCGAGAGCCCTGGGGGGAGACTTGGGGGGCGGCGGCGCCGGCGGCCGCGGTAAGGGGGAGGCGGCTCGGACGACGGAAGAGGTCCGTGATGGCACCGCAGGGACCGCTGAAGACAGGTGGGCAACAAGAGCGGGGCCTGCGCGAGATTGGCTACCTACCAGACCACCCCAACCCAACCCGAAGACCCGAATTTGACCCGAATTTCGGGTTGGGGGGGGTACGGGTTCCATGTGTTTTATCAACGTTCCCCGACCCCCCCCACTGGAAATGGAGGGCAAATTGAGGCCTTCGGGTTGGGTTGGGGTGGTTTGGTAGGTGGTGAGAGATGGCACAGAGACCTTGTGCGGTGGTTTGAGCGGGCCGCCGGCGTGGCACCCCGCGTGGAGATGACGGCGGTTCCGCGCCGGACCTTACCTTGGAAGCTCATGCGAGAGTGTCCACGCAGTCGACCCCGCTTCCTTGCGCCGCGGCGTGCGGTGCGGCAGCGCCATCGTCGCCGGGAACACTTATTGAGTCCGCGGGCGCCAGGGTGTGCAAGACGGCCAGGCACCAGTCAAAGCGAGCGGCGGGCTGTACCAGAAGCGAAGAAAGGCACATTTTGCGAAAGAGCGAAGGGGGCCAAAAGAGAAGGACGGGGCCCGATCAGACTATGCAGGCCAGCGCCAATCGCCTGGAGCACGCCAGCAGAGTGCGGGTGGGAGTGCGCCCAATGCAGTGGTGGGGGTGAACTGGGGCCAGAACCAGCCCACCTGCAGTTCGCCAAATATCCTGTCATTCCAGCGTCGTGAGGGAGCCCCGACGGAGGAACCTGCGGGTGTGGCTCGCGGGACCCTCGCGAGCAAGCCCTCCAGAGGGTCCAGGATCGTGCTCAAGATCGCGCTGTGCTGGAGGCGTGGCCTCGCCCCCGCTCAAGCTCGCCACCAGACATCTTTTTCCCCCGGCTGCCAGGGCTCAGCGGGGCACCTCCTCTGTGCGGCGGCGCGGAGAAGGGGGGGGTGGGCACCGCGCGGGGGGAAGGGGGCGCGGCCCTCCTAGAGGCACCCCGTCGCTGCGGGGGCGTGGGGCGCGGGGCCGCTGGCTGAGGGGCCAACTCCTTCGAAGAGGCCCCTGGCCGTCCTAGAAGGCTGCCTCCCCAGACCCCCTCGCGTCGTAACACAAATCACGACGGGAGGTTTTCCGCGATCCTCCGCTTCTGGGGCCCTTGCAGGGCTTCGGGACCGGCAACAAAACGGCTCGGGGTGGAAAACCGGTCCCTGGGAATGGGTCGAGAGGCCTCTGGAGGTCGACGCCATGACAAGGAGACGTGACGTCGGGGGCCTGCCCCCCCCAACCCCCCCGCGTCGTGCCGCCCCTTCTGCGCGCCGCCGACCTGTGCATGCGTAGTGTGGCAGGCCGGCGCAGGATCCAAAGGTGGGGTGAGACAGCGAGCGCAGGCCCCGCATGCGGCCGCGGCTCGGCCGCGCGCGCGCACGCCGGCGGGCGTTCCCCAACTTTCCGGGGTTGGCCGCGGCCTGCGCTTTCGGGCGTCGGGGGGGAGCCCTCCTCCTCCTCCTCCTCCTCCTCCTCCTCCTCCTCCTCCTCCTCCTCTTCCTCTTCCTCCTCCTCCTCCTCCTCCTCCTCCTCCTCCTCCTCCTCCTTGGGGGCGCCCCATCGAGGCTTGCGCCGGCGCGCTGGGTCAGACAGCGGCCGGGCTTGCGCGTCGGAGGCCGCGACGCCTCCCGCGCCTGGCTCAGGATGGCGACGAGGGGCCGCCCGCCATGTTGTTGCGGATGAAGTTCTTCTTCCGTCTGTTGGCGTGCGCCACGGCCTGCTTCTGGAGCACCTCCTTCGACAGGCGCGTCTCCACGGTGGGCTTGTCTGCGATGGGCGCGGAGTACTTGGGGTGCGTGCCCTTCACGATATAAGACCAATATACGTCCTCCGTCTGGATGATCAGCTTGCCCTGCACTGGCTTGCCATACTCCGTCGGTTTATAGGTGATGACGAAAGTCGTGCCATTGCTTCCAGCGGGTTCCAATACACCAGAGGTAGGCTGCACCGTGAACTCGAACGCGGACTCAGCATCGAAGAAGGCCTCGAAGCCAGAATACACGCTCTTGTGATTGCTGAGCCGGAAGGCGACACTGGCAGGCTTGTTCAGAGGAGACTGGATGAGAATGGTGTCATCGACCTCTGGCTCAGTGGCCTCGAGCTTCAAGTCGAAGCGCCAGCGCCCCCCCGAGGCTCTGGTGATGACCAGGTTGCAGAGGGCCACGAAGGGTCGCAGCGGCGAGAAATTGACCTTCAGGCTCACCTAGAGGAAGAAATATCGGCGTAAACATAAGCTATTCGCGCTCCGCGCGTGGCGCGAAAAGCTTAGGTGTATGCCATTTTTTCTTCTTCGATCACCTTCTCCTTGTCCGTGAACAGGACCGAGGCCTGCTCAGTGTCGTCCTCAAGGCCGATCTCGAAGTACTTATCCACCAGCCCCTGGTGCTGCGGCGGCACCTCCAGCTTGCAGGACAGCGCATCTCCGAGCGTGTCGCCGGGCAGAGAATCCAGGCCCACCAGGCTCAGGTGGTAGTAGGTCTCCAACGACTCGCGCGCCATGACTGTGAAGGTGTGTACAGTGGAATCCGTGGGGGCCTCTGCCACGCCCTGGATGTGGTACGTCCACGTCAAGCTGGGCTTCGACACGGAGATGGCCACCGTCGCAGAGTGCTGCGTCATGGACGGGGGGCAGAAGGAGAAGGGGATCTGCGCGGTGGCCAGCGGACCTATCTGCACTTTCGCCTTCTTGTTCAGCAGGGAGAATACGCCCTTCTCGCTCTTGGACTCTAGCACGATGAACGCGTGGACGGGCTCCAGGAACGGGTTCTTGAAGCTGATGGTCTGGGAGATGGGGTGGTGGACCTGCGCTGCCACGGTCACCTTGCGAGGCTCGTCCGGCGAGAGGCCGGTGCCAGTCGCCTTATACACCCACTGGCCGGCGACTGGGTGCTCGAAGATGATCTGGGCCTCCTCTACGACACCCAGGCTGGAGGGGCTGTATTCGATCTGCACCACGGTCGACTCCAGCGGGGGGAGGACCACCTTCTGCTGCACCACCTTGAAGTTGATCTTGTTCGTCGACCTGTGTTTGAGAACGACCTCCTGCCCCGTCGGGTTGTCTATCGTCACCGACAGGACTCCTGTCTGCCCGAGCTCCACGTTGAGGGTTTCCAGCTCCTCGGGCGGCGCCGCCTCGGCAAGGAGGTCCAGATCGTACCAGAACTCCCCGACGACGTCGTTGAAGAACACCGCGGAACCTTTCCGCTTGGCGGGCAACAGCGGGCTGAACACCAGCTCGTAGGTGGCCGTCTCTTTTGGCGCCAGCACGAACTCGGACTCTCCCAGCAGGCCGTCGCCAGTGAGGGCTACCTCAAAGACGACCACGTCGTCCAGCGGATTGACCAGCTGGATGTCCACAGCCACCGCCTGGCGGGTCACGCACGTCAGATTCAGCGTCTGCTGCGGCTTGGGCGGCAGCGTTATGCACTCGACGGTGTACCAAGTGAAATGGCCAGAATGCGAGTCTCGGAACATGATGCACCCCGTGACCTGGCCGGCCTGCAGCGGCTGGAACACCAGCTCGTACTCGCCCTGGCCCCTGCCCTCGACCGTGATCGAGGAGGGCCCGGAGATGTGGACCAGGTCGCTCTCCACCTCGAACGTGGCGGGGCCCGCAGAGTAGTTCCGCACCACGAAAGAATGGGAGGTCCTCTGGCGGGCCTCGCACTTGATGACGACCTGCTCCTCGGCGAGAGGCTCCTCCGAGATGCCGTGCAGGTCGTACTCGTAGGCCTCGTTGGTGCCCGCGTTGTGAAGCACCAGCTGGGCCTTGACATCACACACCCAGTCGGGCCTGAACACCAGAGGGTAGTACGTGGTGGTGGCCTGGCCGTTTGCCTGCCTCTTCTTCGCCACGAAGTCTCGTGGCCCGTCGAACTCGTGGCCGCTCTGCGCGAAGACGGGCTTGATCTGCCACTCGCGCTCCGTCGGGTTCACGATCGGAATCTCCTGCGTCAGGTACTTCCTCGCCTGGGTGTTGAAGGTGAGGAAGCAGTGCGTGTTTGGAGCAGTGCCGGTGCCCTCGATCTGGTAGATCCTGATGTCCACATCTGAGGTCAGCGTGACGGTGCATGGATACACGCCAGGATCCCTCGGTCTGAACTCGAGCGTCAGCTTGGCGACCGAGCCCCCGGAGGTGGAGGTCTTCACCTCTTGCGTGGCAGCCGCAATGGACGCCTTGCGCCCTCCGGAGGTCTGCGCGAGGGTCTTCGAGGCATCGGCAGTGGTGGCGAGGGTCTTCGAGGTTGCCGAGTGGCTCACCACAGTCACCTGCCTCGGCGCGGTGTAGAAGGGCGAGGAGAGCGTCACGTCGTAGGTGATGCTGTCCGGGGGCGCCTGCTTGGCCGCGAGGCCGCGCTGCTCGAGCCTCGTGCGTGCAGCCTCCATCTGCGTGTTGCGGTGCGGCAGGATGAGCTCCTTAGTGCCAAGCTCCTCGGCCTTCACCTGCAGCTTGTAAGTCTCGAGCGGCAAAGGTGGCGAGCTCGCACCGCACAGCTCGTAATAGAACTCCCCGGCCTTGGAGTCGAAGAAGCCCAGCAGCGCCGTGAAGTGTGCGGGAGCTTCGAACGGCAAGAATGATATCGTGAGCTTCGTGGTGCCGTTTGCCTTCACCCGTGCACGCTTGTCGGCCACGTGGAACGGCTCCACGCTTTCACACCGCTTGGACTTGATGGGGTTCTTATCGACGTCCATCACCGTGCTCTCTCGGATGATCATGTGAAACTCGGCGTCCTCCGAGAACGGGTTCTCGAGCTCGACGTCCACGGTGCCCGTTTCGTACAGGACCGCCGACACATTTACCACCTTTCTGGGCTTACGGCCCGTGCACTTGCTCCTGAGCTTGAACACCATCGCCGCAGCGTGCACGTTTCCCTCGCGCTTGGAGGTGAAGACGATCTGGCCCTCTACCAATTTCGAGAAACGGCTCTGAAACTCCACGGGGAAAGAAACCGTCTGCTTAGGCTCGATGCGGATCTGGTCGTCCTTGATCGAGAAATCGCTGGAGCCCTGAAGCTGCACATTGTACGTGATCGCCTTCTTAGAAGGGTTAGTGAGCTCGATGTTCTTGGTCATGCTGACCCCCAGCATGGTTGAAAATATGATGGTGGTCTTCGGAACGTAATGGGGCAGATTCTGGAAGAGGTACATGACGAAGAGGAGCATGTCCTTGGACTGCGGGGATGCGATGTCCGAGACCTGGATCGGGAACGCAAGGCCGATCTCCGAGAGGGCCGCGATGATAAGTCCCGCGTTCTCTTCGTAGTGCTCCAGCGCGGTGCAGGGGTGCCTCTGGCGGGCCCAGAAAACATTATGAGACACCACACCAGCGTCACAAGAATATCAAGATAGGAGGCATTCTTCCTCGGTTCGAGCCTCTGGAGGCCCGCTGCTGGCATCGGGACCGCGCCAACAACCTGTCCAGGATGAACGACCTCTTCCAGGGAAGGGGGACGAGAGGTCCAGGGGTGTGAAGTCGGAAGTATGTGAGCGCAAACTTCGGACCTTCGCAGACGGGCTCTCAGCCGGCGCAGGACATCCCTCCCCAAACCTCCCTTCGGCAGTTCAGAAATGGGGTCCTGAGGGATGGGGACCTCAGGGTATGCAGGGATCCACGGGTGGATTTACATTGGCTGAGGCACCTCGCCCTTAGGGCCCCATCCCTCAGGGCCCCATCTCTGAACTACCGATTCGGCTACACGCGCGGCATTTCTGGGGCCGCGGGGAGACCAAGCACAAGCACGCGAGACGCTACTGCCGCATCGCGTTCGGCGAACGGGGGGGCCCCAGTGTGCCCGCACCGAGTGTCACTCCGGCGAAGGGCCACTCCAACGTGGTCGTCGACCGATCCCTGGCACGCGCAACGCGCTGGGGCAGTGCCGAGGCTGGCGCCCGAGGGGTGCGGGTAGAGGGCCCGGTGCCGCCAGGGAGGTCGTCCGCGGGCGTCCGAGATGAGTTCTTTTTGCGTATGTATGTATGTATGTATGCGTATATATGATGATGATGCTGCTGCTGCTGATGATGATGATGATGATGATGATGATGATGATGATGATGAGTGATGATGATAATGATGATGATGATGATGATGAGGATGAGGATGATGATGATGATGCTGATGCTGATGATGATGATGATGGTGATATTATATGTACATGTCTATCTTTTGTTTACAAGCACACATACATACACACACGTCTATATATGTGTATATCTATAGACACACATATATATATGTATACGTATCTGTGTTTACTGTATAGTTGACCCCACGGGCCTCATCTGCTGGACCGCCTGGCAGTTCGGCACGTGGGACTGGATGACCACGGAGAGGACGACCGAGTCGCACAGGTCAGCGTCGAAGTTCGAGACGTGCCGCTCGGGGTATCGCTGGCGACAGGCCCGCCAGAAGTGGAAGTTCAGCCAGCGCAGCAGGATGCTCTCGGCCGAGCCGTAGACGTTGGAATCCCCCAGGCCCTTCGGGTCGAGGGCCGCCACCAGCTCGACAGAGGCCGTCACCTTCTGCGTCTCCGTGGCCGAGAGCTCGGCGGAGGCCATGGGCTCGTCGTTGATGGCGCTGGCGATTGGCTGGTCGATCTCCTCGGTCATGCCTGGGAGGGCCTTGAACGCCTTGAGGGTGATGCGGTTGAGCAGGAATATCTTGATAGTCTGCAGGATGGCGGTGAGCCATGCCTCCACGCTCTTGGGGAAGAACGCCTTCTCGACCTGACGCCGCGAGATCGTGGCGTTCGTGTTCTGCTGCAGGCGGAGGTACTGCTCGTACGACAGGAAATGCTCCGGTCGGACGGGCGACAGCATCGCCCCGTGCTGCTTCAGGAAGTTCAGGAGCTGCTCATACTGCTGGACCTGGCCCTGGATGCGCTGGAGGTCCTTGCCCTTCTGGCCCCTGCCCTTGTCGCCCCTGCTGCTGAGGGCCTTCTCCTGCCCCTTCTGGCTGACCTGCTTCCCGGACAGGAACTCGATCATCTCGTAGAGGAAGCGCCCGCCCGTGTTGACGAGGTCCTGAGCTTAAGTGGGCCCTGGAAGCGACAGGGCAATTTATAGACCGATTCATTTTGAAATTTGTTTGCTGGTTACGGCGCTGTTAATTTCCCTGTCCCATCGCCGCTTTATTCCCCGGCTCTGGTTCCAATTCCAATCCCGGAGCCGCTGTCTTACCGTTTACGGGAGCATCTTTTAAATTCCGCCTGCATGCTCCAAAACCAAGCCCTTGAAAACGGCAAATAAAAATACCCTGCCGCTTCTGGAGCCCACGAAGGTCCTGGGGGAAGGACTCCATCTGGTTCTTCAACACGTTCCTGGGGACAACAAGTGTACCCATACCGCCACTTCCTGGAACTCTCCCAAGGTGCGTTCTGACCATAATCTCGAAGCGAGTCCAGCGGTGGCGACGCGGGCCTCCGAGAAGGCCCAACAAGGCGAAGACGAGGGAGGGGTAACGGTAGCGGTGCCTTTTTCTACTCTGAGTTCCCGTTCATCCACCGCATTACGTACTCGGCCTGCGACATGTCCTGGCCGCCGTAGCCCGCCATGGAGCCCGCGTGCGACATGCTGCCCGTCTTCACCGAGGGCGGAGCGCCCGCGCCAGCCTCGGGGCTGTCCTCCTTCTCCGTCAGCATCGGCGGGGACCCACCGAGGGTGTAGAACTCCGCATTCAGCTGCAGGTAGCGGTGGCACGTCAGGATGGAGTTCTCCGTGGTGCCCGAGATGGGCAGCGTGTAGGAGCCCGTGTCGTTGTCCAGGAACTCGAGCTTGGCGCAGAAGGATATCGGCTTGCTGGACTGGAAGAAGACCTCCACGGGGATCCTGGGCTTGGTGATTCCGAGCGTCTGGCCCTCAGGGAAGTTGATGGTCAGGGGGATCCGGATGTTGTCAGTCGGCAATCTGCACTTGACGTCCAAACTTTCGTAGCCCTCGTTCGTGATGTAGAACAAGCAGCGGGACCGGATCCCTAGTGGGACGATTGGCAGCACCACCTCTTTCCGGTCGAAGGTCAGCTTTGGCACCGCGCCCTGTCCTTTCAGTCGCAGGGAGAGGTATGGCTTGCTCTCGTCGGGCGGGAGCGGCTCGCCGTCCTGAGGGCCAGCCTGCTCGGTCCAGGGAGGCGACAAGAAGACGTTGAGGCTCGTCTTGTACTCGATCGGTTCGTTCGGCAAGAAAGCCACTCGGATGCGGCAGTCGCTCTCGGGCTCAAGGGTGCCGTGCGCTGGCTCCAGCGCGAAGACGCCCATGTGCTTTCTCAGTGGCTCGGAGTCGATCTTCCACTCTATGGCGCGGTCGTCTGCGTTGTGCAGCGCGAGCTCCTGGACGGAAGCGATGGACTGGATGCCGGTGGACACCACCTTGGTCTTGAAGTCCTAGAGCAAGCAAGACCGCACAAGCACAAACTGCCGGAGACCCGAGCAGACGTTTCGTGGGCCAGCGCCGGACCACCCTGTTCCGGCGGGCAAAAAAAGCCACCCAAGACATCCGCTGCGGACCTCCGAAAGTCTACAGTGGAGGCCAGTCCACAGGAAGCCTTCCACAGGAAACCCAACCCTGAGACCCAAGGACGTCCAGTGGTTCCTGGTGTGGGAGCGTGACGCTGTCCATCGCAAGACCATCGAACTCCAAGAAACCCAGGGCACCCTGGAGGCAAGCGGTGTGTTTCTTGGCAGGGAACCCTGTCCTGGTGCGCGAAAAGGCCGCCCAAGACATCCGCGGGGGGCCTCCGAGAGCTTCCTTTCACCGTGCTGCGAAACGGAGCGCCGAAGCAGGAGAGCGAAGATGCTTTTTTTCCGGCCGCGGCGGGCCCCAGCAACGAACATGCGTTCTGCTCTCAACCCAGGCCGAAGGGAAGCGGCCCGAAAAACGGAGCCCCTCCTGCGCCCAAGGCGGGAATGATGCTGATGATGATGCTGATGATGATGATGCTGATGATGATGATGCTGAGGATGATGATGCTGATGATGATGATGATGCTGATGATGATGATGACGAGGAGGAGGAGGAGGAGGAGGAAGAGGAGGAGGAGGATGAGGAGGAGGATTTCGGCGTCTTGGCTGCAAGCGTGTGCAATTTGAAACCAGGGGGGCGAGAGGAGACGAACAACCACAGCTCAAGATCGGCCCCAAGACCCGTCCCGATGTTAAGGGGCCTCCTAGATGGGGTCGGAGCAGCTGGGGGTCGGAGGATCGCACCGCATCGCCGATACATCGGCGATGCGTCGGCGACTTCGACGTGAAGCAGATCGGGTTCCACATCGACCCGCATCTGCGATGCGTCGGCGATGCGGCGCGATCCTCCGACCTCATCTACTCCGACCCATCTAGGAGGCCTCGGGATGTCCAAACGCACCTGTTTTCCGAGCTGCGGCCAGCCGTGGCGAGGAGGGGCCCCCCTCGAAGGCCAACCATACCATTGTCTCAACCTGCCCGCCTCTGAGGGGAGGGTCCGGCGCCCACCCAAGAAATCCGCGGGGGCCTCCAACAGTTTACGTCGCACCCCATACAGTAGGGGCCCGACCACAACAAACCTTGCACAAGAAACCCAACCCTGAGACCCCAGGGCGTCCATCGATTTTTGGTGTGGGAACGTCACGCTTTCCATCGCAAAACCATCGAAACCCAAGAAACCCAGGGCGCCCTGGAGGCAAGCAGGGTGTTTTTTGGCATGGGCATCCACTGTATGTCGCGGGTGGGTCGCGGGGTGGGTCACGGGGTGGGTCACGGGGTGGGTCGCGGGGGGACGAGGACGATAAACAACAACATTAAACAGCAGCAAGGAGTCAGAGCCTAGGCTACTGAATCCCACTTTACCCACGCACCCAGGGATGATGTCAGACCGTTCGGCTCCCTCGCTCTGATGCTTATGCAGGAAAGCCCAGAATCGAAAATCATCGAATCGATAAATCGGCGGCCGAAACGAATCGGATTGGCGGAAATCGGTAGCCAAGTCGGGAGAAGTCGAGTCGGCGGAAATCGGTAGGCCAATAAGGCCTCCATTGAGAAACCGAAGCCCAGATCGGAACCCGAGGTCGAACCGAATCGGAATCGGAACCGATCGAGATCGAACCGAACCTGGTCGGAGGAGTCGAAATGAGCCCAGCCATCGTGCTGCCACAAGCGAGACCTTCTAGATGAGGACTGGGCAGATGGGGTCGGAAGACCGCGCCGCATCGCCGACGTCGGCCAAGGGATCGGCGATGCAGGCGTGGAGGAGATCGGGCTCCACATCGAGCCGCGTCGCCAAGGCATCGGCGATGCGGCGCTTATGCAGCCCCTCTCTGAAGTCCATGACGGTGGAGCTGAAGAGCATCCTCGGGCGCAGCGCCTCGGCGTGGACGACCTTGCGGAGGCCGTCGCCGCGGCCGCCGCCCGCGGCGAGCACGGGGAACTCGAAGTAATGTTGGCCGAGGTCCGCGGGCCTTGGGCCGCTCCGACACGCGGCACGCACCCCGCAGCGTGCTGACACGGAGCTCAACACGGAGACTGAACACGTAGGTCTGGCGCGATGCTTTCGCCAGCACGTGGGCCAGCACGTGGCGGGCCAACATGCAGCGTGTTAACACGGATGCCTTGAGCACGGCACGTGCTGCGTTTTGACATGCGCGTATCGGGGCGGCTGAGCCGCGGGCTGGTAGGTCAGCTGCAGCTGCAGGGTGCAATTCGGCTGCACCGTGATCTTCCACATCCGCGTCTCGGCCTCCTCCTCCTCGTCCTTGGGCGCTCGGTGTCTTACCCATGCCCCTCCTCACGCCACGACCCCACGAGGGGCCGAAGTGGAGACTTGGATCAAAACCCGACCCCTGGGAGACACATTTCTTCTGCATGCCCTACCCCGTGCCGTCCCACTTTGCACGCAGCATCATGGGCGTGGATAAAACGTCGATCGCCGAGGCCTGGGCGGCTCCAGGCGCCGCGGGCCAGACACGGTCGGCACCTCTCGGTGGCCCAGCTCCTGTTTCCGCCGACTTCCCGCTGGCGGGTCCGCCCAAGCTGTGCTTCCTCTGGCTTCCGCTGCCCTGACGCCGCCCCCCCGCCGAGGGCGGAAGTCCACTTCGCGATTCTTCGAAAAGGCGGGACCCTTTCTGGAGCGCACTTCCTCGGGCATGTTGGCCCCCGCGTTCATGGTGGAGGTGTCGTGGGACTTCCGCGTCGTGAGCCCCTGGTCGTCGCCCCCGCCCTGGCCGACCGCCACCTGGTACTGGTGGGCGGTGAGCGCCTGCATGGACGAGGCGTCGAAGCTGTCATCCTCTTCCCTGCCGTCGACCTCTGCTGAGTCTCGCCCAGGGCCCTCGAGGCTCCAAGCGAGAACTTGTTGGAGGGCTTGAGCAGCTTTTTGAAGGCTTGTGGTGCGTCTCGGGCCTCCAGAGGCCTCCAAGTTTAAGTCGGGCATGTCACTCTACAGGGGAATAATCAACATAGTCCAACAATAATATGGGGACGATTTCGAGCATCTTTTTAGTAGTTTTGGGTATTCTTTGAATATTTTTCATTCTTCGTCCAAAACCTGCCTGTAGGAAGACCCGCCCGACCTAACTCCAAGGGCTTCTGTGGGCCTCTAGTATCCCCCCGGGGGCCTCCGGCAGCCTCTGGAGGCCTCCACTGGCAGACCAGAAGGACGTCGTAATCATAACCTCTGGAGGCCCTCGCGGACTTCTGGGTCCAGCGCCGACCTAAGAAATCCACGCGGACCTTCGACAGTTTATGTTGTTGCAATTTTCGTTGCTATGGATTTTTCCCGACGCCTCATGCCGCGTACTCCTCCCTCTCTCTCCTGATCTCCTCCCTCCTCCTCGGAGTCTCGGTGTCAGTCTGTTGGTCGCAGACACTGGCGTTTTGTCTCGTCTCTTTCCTGGCGCCGACCTCCAGCGGCCCGAGCGCAAACTCCGGGTGGGCCTGCAGGTTGACGAAGAGGGTGCCCTCCACGGCGGACGAGTTCTTCAGCGAGACGGGGGCCGTCGCGATGGCCCCGAGCGTCAGCTGACCGAACTCGATCTCCTCCTCGACAAACTCGATGTTCGGCACGACGGCCGTGGCCGTCGTCTGCAGGCGGATCGTCTTCCCGCCGCGGACGCTCAGAGACACCATCGTCTCGAGCTGCATGGGCTTGTCAAGGCGCACGCTGACCTCGATGTCCACTCGGCCCTCGGGCACGATGCGCCCGCGGGTGGGCGTGACGGTCACGCCGTCCACGGTGGGCTCGACGTGGAATACGGCGGCGTTCTTGCCGGTGTTCACCACGCTGACCGAGCGCTCCTGCGCCAGGCCCACCGCGAGCACGCCCAGGTCGAGCTTCTTGACGAGGAACGCGCAGACTGCCTCTGGAGTCTGCCCAGTGCAACTGAGAGGCTGGTCGTCGCCATCCTCCGTCTTCAGCGTGAGGATGCCCTCCACCACCTGGCCACTGCTGGGCGGAGTGAAGACGACATCGCAAGCGCACGTACCACCGGGCCGGATGACGCCGCTGGTGGGGCCCACGGAGAAGGCGGCACCCGCACCCTGCCAGCTGAAGCGCGCCGGCGCATTGCCTGGGTTGCTGAGAACCATCTGCTCCGTGAGCGCTCGGTCCATGTTGTCATCCGAGAAGCGGAAGTTGAGATCACTCCGGGACATCTTGATCGTGACGGGCGTGATTTCGGCCTTCACCAGCAGCTTGAAGGCATGGATACCGTTGATAGTGTAGACAACCTGGCGCTGGAAGGTCTGGGACAGGTGCGAAGACACGGCCAGGTCGAATCCAGCGGCCTGCGCCGATGGTATCACCTGGGAGACTGGGTTCGACCTGTTCAGTTCCTCGGAGTCGTACTGCATGGTGACCAGTATGGCTTGCGGGAGGTCATTGTACACCGAGAAAGACTTCGTCGCCTGCGACCGGACGTAGACGCTGCCGAAGTCCAGGATGCGTGGCCCCACGGAGATCAGCCCCAATTGCCAATTCTCCAAGGTCACGGAGCACTCCCGCACCTCCGCCTGCGTCGTCGGGGCGGCCTTGAACTTCTTTTTGATCAGCTTGTTCTCGTCGTGCACATAACGGAGGCCAGTGACGCCCCGAGCCGCGTTGTCGTCGTCCAGAGGCCGCTGCAAATACAACTTCTCTGGCTTGATCTCGTCGACGTTGTACCGGGGGCTCTTGAGGCCAGATCCTGGTGCCATACCCCGGTCCACGTCATCCTCGCAAAAAATGTCGACCACAGTGCCAGCCGTCCCAGCATTTTTCATGTTCTTCTTGCGCGCCAATCTCGATTCCTTCAAGACCGTGTTGTACTTCTGCTTGTTCCGTACGAACTCCTGCATCGCCGACGGGGAGAGCGAGTGCTGCGTCGGCTCCGGGTGGTCCTGCATGATCGAGTCGAGCGCCTCCGAGTTGTTCGCGCTCTTCTGTCCTGCCTTGTTGAGGTCGGTCTTCATGATCTTGGTGATGCTCTGGAGATTCTTTATTGGAGGAGGTGGCAGCTTCAAGTTCTCTGGGTCCACGAAACAATGCTCTGGGTCGAAGTCCCGCCCCGTCCGCTCCAGACCCTTCACGGGTATCGCCTGCTTGTTTGTGAGCGCAAGCGATCTGGAGAGGAAGGAAGGAGAGGAAGGGCAAGGAGGAGGGGGATCTGAGGAAGAGGGGTGAGCGTGAATTGCCTTCTCGCCGATCGTCGGCGCCTCCCCCATGGCCGCGATGTTGTATTTGTACATGCCGCCGCAGTAGTTGATCTGTAGGTTCTGCTTCAGCTTGCCGAGGGTCTTCGGCATGTACGACACGATGACGTTCATGTTCTGAAGGGGGCTCAGCCTTCCCTTCGCTGGCTTGACTGCCATGTGTGGGACGGTCGGGATCTCGAAATCCAGCGGCATCGAATCCGCGAGGTTGGTGATTCTCAGGACTATGTCGCGTCTCTGATTCACCTGGCATTGCCCGAACTGCAACATGTCTGGCGACACTCTCAAAGCTGGAAGTATGGCCTCCGCGGTCAGCTGCAAGGGCAACGTGAGGCCCAACTCTTCGCAATCAATCTTCCCAGAGTAGGAGAGCTTCATGCAATGATTAGTCGGCCTCCGGTTGCAGATGAAACCCTTGTCCTCGGAGTAGACGTTGGGGGCAAAAGTGAACTCAAGAGGGATCTTGCCGAAAGCGGGCACAGACCCCGTGAAGGGCGTGACGACGAGCGGCATGTTGGACTTCGCCATCGTCTCGGCGGGGCTGGAGGCTAGTGCCCCTTTCGAGTCGGTGCCGTCGCTCTCGTCTGCAACCTGCGCGCTGAAGGAGCAAGTGGTGGGCCCGTCGTTCCGCAACTCCACGATGATGACCTTCGACTGGCCGTGATACAGGCTGCCGAAATTGAGCATCTTGATCGGCGCGCCATCCTTGTAGAGATGCAGCGCCTGGTTCACACAGGTCCCGTGCACATCGATGCTGCGCGTGGCGGGCTCCAATGAGCTCTGGCCATCCAGCTTTACCTCCACGACCTCGTGGACGGTGCAGGGCGAATCTGACAAGAGCTGGACCTTGACTCGCTGTGAGTCGCCTGGGCGCCCGTGCGGCTGTAATTTCCCCGAGACGGGCGTGAAGGTAAGCCGCTTGTCCGCTGGCGCTTTGATGTCGAACGACCCAACGTCGGAGCCCGCGTTGCGGAACAGGATCTCCTCTTGGTGCGTTCGCTTCGTCATCACCTCTCCGAAGTTGACGAGCGGCGCGAACGCGATGGCGGCGCAGGGTCCTTTCGCAGACAGGGGCACTTCGAACTTGAAATCCTCGGCCTTGATGGTCAGCCTGTCAACATAGTCGAACGGTTTGCGTGTTAGAAATTCCACATCAATCGAGATAGACAAGCCGGGGGCTATGGCTCGCTGGTTCTCGCACAACAGCCTGAACTCCTGTGATGATGGTGGCTCGACGCGGATCCGCTTGACAGCCGGGCTGAGGTTTCGGACGATGACGGTCTGAATGTACTTCATGTCGGCCTGTATATCTACAAAGTCGATTGCCGATGGCTCGATGTGCAAGTGCTTGCCATGGGGCACGATCACGGCGGTGCTCGCGCCTCTCATGGCTACCAGCCGGGCTCGCCTCTCGAAACACCCGCAGGCCCCTTGGGGCGCGCAAGCGCAAACGCGCCCGCACACGGCCCCGCCCCCCCTGTCTTGAGCCGAATACTCGTGACCCTTCTTGCTCGCGCGCGCCGTGGAGGGAAATGACGCCATAGAGAATCCGCTCAATGGGATGAGGATGGGTAGAATGAGGATGGAGGAGGGATGGGAGATGAAGGATGGGGGGTTAGGGATTCTTGGACGCCTTGAAGGCCGAACCGGCCTGTACGTCAGGCCACAGTGATTCTTGCCTGTTGGAGGCCTTGCGGCTGTCCTCGTTGGGGGAGCAAAGACAATACAATAACACGACGACGTGGGGAACACATGAGCGTGTTGATATAGTGAAGAGTCACCAAGCTCTCGGATCAAAACGAACTGGTAACACGCTGACGGGTTCCCGACAGCAACGTGCCATCGATACTCTTCCTCCCTCCCGAGTCGTGGGGCAGTCTCAGGACACCTTGGAGCCCTCTCGAAGTCATTGTGGGCTGGCCTGGCGCCTATCTTGGGTCGTCCTGGCCGTCCTGCGTAGCTTCGGTCTTTCGGAAGCAATCCTGGGCCATCCTGGCCTGCATTGGAGGCCGTGTTGGAAGCCACCTTGGACCATCTTGGGCCAATCCTGCGCCAATACCGTGGACGGTGTCGACTGGAGAGGTCGACCCGCCATAATCGGGGCAAGTCCTCCCCTGGGGTCTGGTCGCCGGGGGTGCCGCGAGCGGTGTCGCAGCATCCAATACGGCCCGACAAAGCTCAATATTGTCCTAAATGAAGAAGGAGGGAGAGGACATACCTTTCTGACTCGGGCGAGGAACGCACCCTGTTAGCATAGGCGGGTCGAGAAACACCAGCAAACGCGGCAATGGCCGCGACTAACAGCCAAGACGAACCGCAACAATAGCAGCGATTAATGACCATGCGTCAGAACCGCAATAACGCTGGCGCGTGGGCCCGAAGTATTTGTTTCGCGCAGTAATGTGTGCATCTGTGTGGAAGCCTGTGTGTGTGCGTGTGTATGTGTGTGTGTGTGTGTGTGTATGTGTGTGTGTGTGTGTGTGTGTGTGTGTGCAAGCCTCTGTGAGTGTGTGTGTGTGTGTGTGTGCAGGCACACGTGGAACTGTTTCTGCGAGGCCTGCGCTCGTCACTGGAGAACTACGGCCATGAAACTGGCGAAGATGACCTGAAGAAACTGCGCAAACTCCCGTCCCTCACGGTGGAGGGCCTCCTCGAAGGGGGCTGGGACGATTCCACTCCCGTCTGCAACGCCCCCGAGGCGCAGCTGCGCTCCCACGGAGCTTTCGCCACCGCCCCCCTTGCCTGGCACGTCCACTTGGGCTATCCTCCCTGCGAGGCTGGCCCCGAGTGGCTTCCGCCTCCAACGTTCGAGGTCAATATCGATCAGCGCTCTCTCCCCAGCCCGTCCTCGGCCCTCCTCCCCGCACCGTGCCCCCGCCTGCCGAATGCGCTCCCTCCGGCACCGCTCCCTGGGGCCTCCGCGGCTTCTTCGCCGCCTCCGTCTGCCCCCCCTGTCCTGCGTTTAAAATGGACGTGTTCCTCTACAGGCGAATTTGGATGACAAATACAGGATAATAAAAAAATGCCCCCAAAATACTCAAACATACTCAACAAATCGTCACCATACTATTTTCCGACTATTCTTGAAGATTCCTCCTGTAGAGGGACACGCCCGACTCATCCTGCGCCCCCCCACCCTGAGGGGCTGCCTCCCGTGCGGCTGCACCAGCGACGCCTCCTGCTTCGTCTGTCCTGCCGCCGCCGCCGCCGCCTGCTCTCCCGCCCGCTCGGCCCGCCCGCGCCGACCCCTCTGCCCGTCCAAACGAAGGATTGCAAAGGATTGCAAAAAAACCCTTCTTGAACGAAGGTTTTTTTTTGCAATCCTTCGTTCAAAGGGTCTTTTGCAATCAATCCTTTGCAATCCTTCTGCCCGTCCACCCGTGCCCTCCATCCCCCGGTCGCAGCCCGCGGCGGCCAGCGCCGCGGGCTCCAGCAGCTCCGCTGGCGAAGCGAACGGCACCGGCTTGGGGCCCCCTCTGCTTCGCGGCTTGGCCACTGATGCCCGGGCATGGCTTGGTGGAGTGTCCACCTGCGAGCGCCGCTCAGGGCGTGTTCGCACTGCGGGGCGGGTTTCCTCGGCGATCCAGCTCCCTCAATGTTGGGAGCGGGACCTTCGGGAATACCGCAGCTCTCTGCTGGAGTTGGGCGGATGGATCACAAAGCCGCAGCCGAACCCATCGCTGACTCCCCCGGACACTGTCGCGCCCTCGCTTCCCGCACTGTCGTTGCGCCACACGTACGGCGCACTCACTGGACCCTTGAAGAGCCTGCCTGCATGCGGAAGCTGAAGCCCTCCTTGCGCGCTCCGACCAGAGCTGGGCGCTGTGGGAACTGAGCTGGCCTCCTTGCGGGTTGGATGTCAAGCAGGCGAGCGCCAGGCCTGGCACCCCGTCCCTGTCCCGTTCCCTGCCTCCACTCGACGCTTCTCACGGCGATCTGCGTGTGGAATGGCCCAGACCCCTGGCATCGGCGATCCCCAAGTGCGCGGCCCCGACCACACCTGCCTCGTGTGGTGGGACTGCCGCAAAAGGCCCCTTTTGGGACGACGGCGAGCTAGGCCCCCTTCTTGACGACGGCCTCCCGCTGGACGTCCTCCAGGGGGAAGTGCAGTGGAGGCGTGTCCACCAATGGACCGAGCTCTTCTACGGCGCCAATCACGAAGCACGAGACCAGCGCGGGTCAGTGGTCGCTCTATCCACCCCAGTGCGATACACGCGCCACTTACCAGATATGAGAGTGGGAGGAAGGAGAGACTGTCGACGCGGGAGCGGGCAGTCCAGGGGCTGGGGCAGCGGCAGTCCAGGGGCTGGGATGTGAGTCGTCTTCGTTCAGGGCTTTCTTCCGGTTCGAATGGAAGCTCGTGGACACAATCTGGCTTCCTTCCTCCGGCTTCCTTCCTCCCGTTCGGGTGGGAGCGTGTCCGAGAGCGGCCTCGCGAGGACCCCCTGGGCCCCCGTGATCACCAGGAGGGGATGCGGGTACGTGCGCTTTTCCGACCACTAGTTTCTAATACAGTAGTAGCTCGACCACAAGAAACCTTCCACAAGCAACCCAGCTCTGAGACCCCAGGACATCCATTGATTTTGGTATGCGAACGCCATGCTTTCCACAACAAAACCATCGAAACCCTCGAAACCCAGGACACCCTGGAGGCAAGTAGGGTGTTTCTTGGCATGGGTCTCCACCGTAACCGGATCGATCGGATCGCCGTCGTGCATCTCTCCCGTGCTCCCAACGCAGTCGCCTTCCACGCTGCCTGGCCGGCAGGCTGCACGGGGCCGAGCAGCCGCCAGGCCTGCTCGCGAGGCCCGCGCGCGAGCCCCGTCTCCGTGGAGAGGAAATGGGCGATCGCCCTCGTTGGCAGACGTGCGCAGGCCCACGGAACGCACCGTCGACCCCGTCGCATCGTGGACCGCGCCGTGCCCTCCGCCCTGCCCCCCCCCTCGTCGTGGTCTTCGTCGTCGTCGTCGTCGTCGTCGTCGTCGTCGTCGTCGTCGTCGTCGTCGTCGTCGTCTTTGGACATTTCTAGGTTTTCATGTGCTTGCGGCTCCTTGGAATGTCATCTGCAGCGGTCTGGGGCCGTCGGGATCCTCCCGAATGGCCGCGGACCCAGCTCGAGGATCGAGGTTCGACGACCGAGGGCCCTGCCCCTCGCTCCGCCTGCGCTTCTCTCTCTCTCTCTCTCCTGAGGCCCCCCCCGCCTCGCTCCGCTCTGCGTCCCGCCTGCCCCTTCCTCGCGGGCTCCTCCTCTTCCGGCCCCTTCACTTCTCTCGGGGGTGGAAGGGGGGGGGTGTGCTGTCGTGCACTCGAGGCCCAGGTTCAGCGACAGTCCTTCCAGAAGAGGCCCGGAGCGGGCCAGCTCCCAAAAAGGGGGGGGTCATGAAGCCGAGCGAGGCGTTCCTCCTTGGCTTTCGATCGAGCGATGTGCACTGTGCCGGCGGCAAGGGCGCGCGGGTGTGAGACGACTCGTGTGACGACAGCGGCTTGTTGGGAAAGCACGGAGCGACGCCGACCCCAAAGCTCACTTGTCCTCCGGGGGAGGGGGGAGAAGATGGGAGCTGACAGCATGACTCAACAGGCGTCAAAACGCGAGTGCAGCCACACGTCAGGAGACAGGCTAAAAGAAATCAATCAACAGGCCGCGAGCAGGAACACCCGAGGCTCCCCTCATACGGAGCCCGCGCTCAGCGACATGCTCTGCGTCTCCGTCAGCGTGGTCGGCACGTCCAGCACCTTCTCCACGACGTACTTGATGGTCTTGTCCTTGTTGCTCTCGTAGTCCGAGCGCACCATGTCGATCTCTGCCCGCGTCTTCTGCTGGAGCTCCCTCATCGCGTCGTTGTCCTGCTCGGCGGTGGACCAACCTCCCTTCAGTAAACCCACCTTTAGTGAAAGCGGCCTAAGACCGAAACCGACGGACCTGGACCCGCAAAAATGACGGCCGCGACGCCCTCTTGCGAACCGAAAACGGCCAGTTCGCTAATGGACGTGTCAGGGTAGGAGGTCTGTCAACCTCCGACCTGCGTCGAATTCGCCTTCGCCTCGTACAGCCTCTGCTGCTCCTCGCGGAAAGACCTCAGATCGTCCTCCGCGGCCTGGGCGGCCTGCCGGAGCTTCTTGACGCGCTCCTTCTTGGCTGCCTCTTGGCGGTGCGCACAAGGGGGTGGAGGGAGGGGGGAGGGCTTCTTAGAAGGAGGCTGCTTCTCAGAAGGCCCTGGCCTGACGTCTATAGAGAAGGCCAGCGCCTTCTAAGAAGCAGGGGTGCTTCTAAGGAGCCTTCCCCCCCTCCCACCACCCCCCTCTGCGCGTGGCTGAGCCTCGATGATGTCCTTCGCCCTCTGCTCCGCACTCTGCAGCTGCGAGATGAGCTCTGGCGCGGAGGTTGGCAACCCAGGCCGCGCAGCGCCGATGACACTCATCTTCGCTGCAGGGCTGCGCAAGCGAGGACAGCTGCTGGGAGGCCAATCTCGTGATCTGCGCTGGGCGCTCGAGCCAC